CGTAGCATCAGGGTCTTGCATGTGTACTGTGTAGGCAGGATACATTACTGACTTGCAGTAAAGAAGTATATAATCTAGGCGATTCGTTCAAATTAATATTGCACGCTTCGACGCTCGCGTCAGCTATGAAGGATTCTAATGACTTGTTAAGGTCGCTGTTTTGATCTTTCTTTTGATAATCAGATTTTAAAAGGACACTATGTATTTGATCACATAAATCATTGGCTTTGGCTCCATCAAAGGATATAGATTCGCTCTTTGAGTGCCACTCAACTTTTAGCTGTTCGCTATTGAAGCACCACTTTCCGCCGCTAGGTGAATGCCATTTCGAACTTTGGGCTGCTTGCTCATCAATTATCGTCAGAACGAAAGCTTTAAGATCTCCAAGTGTTCCTGTCCAAATTAATTTGTTTTTCTTTCGGCCAAAGAAGCCGAACAAGGTGTTAATAACTCTAGAAGAATTCATTTTAATCGTATGCTCTTGTGTGGAGATGTTCACTTCATGAGAGGGTTAGGTGTTAGGTAATATTTGAGTGGCTCGGATGAAAAAGTAATAGTTATAGCAAAACTTTAGCTAAATTCACTAAAATTACAGAAAAAGTTAACAAATTATGATATCTTCGGAAATTTTTTTGTATGTCCGCAAAAAATTACGTATTTCCGAAAATTTTTTTGCGACCTCCTAACAATTTTGGGGGGAAAATTAATTAGCGACTGAAATGTTGTCGGCAAATGCGATATTAACCCCCCCCCCCCTTCTTTCTCCTCTTCGCTATAGCCCTGCGAAGGACCTTCGCTCGAAACGTCGAAGTTCTCCTTGTATTTTTCAGGTAGTTGCAATGTCCCTATCAATCCAGAGCTTTCTTATTATTGCCACTACCTACACTGTCACAGACCTTTCAAGATTATTAAAACTGTTCACTTCTCCGATAGGCCGAATGATTGAAGTGCGCGCTCCAGATAATATATAAAGCTGACTGGTGTCTCACCTGTTTTCCAACATGTTCGGCAATTTCGAACATTGTTGTTTAGTGATGTTGTACATAAGAACATCGTTACATATCTCAGTATAATCATGGTTCTTATGTCCGCCCAGTACAATGAAATTGTCATCGCGTACGACAACAGCCATATTAGCAAGTTGATGAGGTAATGGTGCTAGCTTCTTCATGCCCTTCGTTGTCGGGTTGTATAGTAGGACATCTTCTTTCAATTCCGTGACCCTATAAGGAGTGTTGTAGTAACCGCCGAGGACGACCACCGTGTTTTCGTTGACACATGCAACTCCATAACGCGACAGTTTTACTCGGTCGCTATAAGAAATAACGGTGGTTTTAAATGGAGGTTTAAGGCTGGTTCCCGATACAGATTCACCGAAAGTCAATATTCTGTCACCACATAAAACTCCTTTGCCACATTCTGTATCAACTAATTGTGCGGGAAAGGTGCTGACAGATCTATGGTCGGAAATATCCAGACATTCGACTTTGTTCGTTCTCGTTCCACCACAAATCATGATCTTGTTATCATACACGAACGAGAATCCGTCCGTATGATCGAAGAACAAAGTGTCCTTGTACAAAGTCCATTGTTGAGTGGATCAGTCGAAGATTTCATAGGACCTGCTGCCTCCTCCAGCTACAACAATCTGTTTGTTGACTGTGGCTTTGCTTTGAATTGGACTTGGGATAAGAACTGTTTCAACATAATCTGATTTTGTGCACGATGGCACGGTTGGAATGTGATCGTATCCCTGTTGTGGTTGCGTTGAATCGGGTTGTTTTGAGTTGTCACTTTGTTGCCTTCGCGTTGGATTCGGTTGCACCGTTTCGCTTGCTTGCTGTCCCAAATGACCGCTTATTTGTTGTCTTTGGTTGTTGCCTCGCTGTCCTTGCGTTGTATGAGGTTGTCCTAATTCCCTCGCCATTTGCCTCATTTCTTCCCCTTGTCGAAGCTGTTCGTCTTGTATTTCTCGCAAGACCCTCCAAACTTCAGCCAAACCACGTTTAGTTTCGTCCAGTTCGTTCCGAAAAGCGCAAGGATGTTTTCTGTATTCTCGTTGTCTCATCGCTTCGTGACAATCATTGCATGTTATCGATCGAAAATCACAGGTTTGTTGATGGCTGATGAGATCTTGTCTGTTTACCGTGGCTTCACAACCATCGTACGAACACTGCACAGGAGCAAAGCCGCACTCTTCGTGATGCGACGACAAAGCTTCATGTCTTACTGCCGTCGTACATCCACGACTGGCATACATACATCTCGCAGATTGAAACTGCTCGAGTATATTCGCCACAGCTCTCGGGATAGGACGAAGTGTTTCGAGAGTAAGGTTGTCTTGACATAAAGGGCACGTTTGTGATCGCTTTAAATGCTTGGTTATACACTTCTTACAAAAATAATGTTCATTCTTCACACACTGAACGGGTTCTTGTAGCACTTCCAAACATATAATGCACGTAAAGTTGTCGAAATATGCGGTATTAGTATTGCTGTCATCTTGAATCGAAAATGCACTCGCCATTGCGATACAGCGACATGTCTGAAATGGTAATAGTACCAAACATTTTTTGACAAGATCAATATTAGCATATACGTGGGAAGTATACGAACGTGCATACGTGCACGGCTCGCTTAAACACAAATATGACAAACATGCCGGAGCCAGCACAATTTAATACACAGCCAAATACGCGGTTACCGATGCAAATGAATAGCATGGATTATCTGACTAGGCATGCAGTCAAGCATGCTGATGAATTAAGGATTTTTATGCAAATTCAACCTTTTGACATATTAAGCATCAATGAAACAAGACTTGACAATACTATACATGCATAAAGACGACAGGTTACGATTTAATAAGGAAAGACAGAAACCGTACGGTGGAGGAGTTTCACTTTATGTAAGAATTAAACACTATCCCATATTCAGATCGAAATTATTTACTAGCAAACAATGTGGAAGTAATTTTATGATGTCGACGTGGTATCGGCCCACAAATGCTAACATAGAATTACTTCCTCATTTGAAGAGTTCTTACTTCTTACAAAAGGCAGATTATGAAGACAAAGAAATTGTCATAACTGGCGATTTCAATTGCAACTTTCTCTCAACCGAATCTAAAGAGCACACCAATAAACTAAACGATTTAATTAACGAATATCAACTTAAACAAATCATTAAAGATCCAACCAAGATTACCACTTCAATCAAAACATTAATAGACATCATAATTACAAGAACAGACGATGGTGAAATAGTAGACTCAGGGGTTACTCACCCAGGGATTAGTGACCATAGCCTAATTGTCTATGCATGCAGACCTTGACGGCAAAATTTTAAATAAACTTCTAAAAGCTGCAGGAGAGGCCATTATTGACCCTTGGGGAACGCCACAATTAATATATGTTGTATTTGAAATTTCGTGATTAATTTTATACAACCCTGTTTTCTTCCTGTTAGCTAAGATATAAACCATTGTCGTGCTTTTCCCTGTATTCCATCATCTACTGTGTCAAAGGTTTTCTTAAAGTGGCACTCGCGTCAAAATGTTTATTTTCTTAACTAATTCTTGAGATATTAGTTTTTGCGATCGCTGATGTTACCGAAATGGGCCTGTAATTGCCACAATCCGTATTTTCCTCTGATTTATAAATAGGAGTTACCTTAATGACGAAAGTCAAAGGGTTAAGGCAAAGACTAAATCAAATGTTTTCAAACCCTGAAATTGTTATTGGAAACCAAAAGATTAAAAGAGTAGAAAACAAAAATTCTTGGGCGTAATTGCAGACGAACATCTTAAACGGCACGATCACATTGATATGCAATGTAAGAAAATTTCAAAAAAATATCGCTTTGTTAAGAAGAGTCAAGAACTACATGACAGAAAATACCCTCAAGTAGTCAAGATGATGTATAACTCCTTAGTCTTTCCACACCTCACATACAGCTCGACAGTGTGGCATCATGGAAATACTACTCATATTGATAAATTACAAACATTACAAAAAAAATGCCGCACAGATTATCACAAATTCAAGCTTTAATATTAGAAGTGAAGAGATTTTCAAAAACTACAATGGCAACCGGTTGGACACATCTTGAAACAACGCGATGCACAAATGACATTTAAGGCCTGTCTCGTCCCTCGTCGCTTCAGTTGGGAATATAGATCAGTGGAAAAACAATGGGAGCGCGGAGCTTAATGGGAATGCGATAGAGGGACTGTGGAAGAGTCAGATTTAAGGCAATTAGAGGGTTAACACCGGAATACTTACCTGAATTGTTTGGTACATGCCATAAAAAAACAACCATATGCACTGCGAAGCAGGGGCGAATCCAGGATTTTTCGTACGTTAGTCAAAGTTTTCAGATGTACAATCTAGTTTTGCGAGCGGTGAATGCGCGAGGCACCTAGGGGGGGGGGGGGGCTCTGTCCCGCAGTGTGTCTGTCCCCAGGAATTTTTTTATATTTAAACCTCAGAAACGCCATTTGCAGCACTCTGAAAGCAGCTTCAACAAAAAATTAACCTCATGAATTGGGAGATAATTATAGCAATTATCAGTCTCACTGACTCTCACAACTTGCTCCTTAGGGAAATTTAAAAGAGAAGTACTTGCAGAAATGTGATAAGTGTGGAAGATGTTTCATTTTATCAAATTACGGATTGCTAGTATTATGTTTAACTAACTCATGATGGTATTACACTCATTCATGTTGCCTAATAGCCTTGTTGAGTCATTGATCACTTGACTAGTAATCACTACAGTGTCATATTACTCAAATAAACATATATCAATATTAAAGTTTGAACATTCATCAATAAAACCTGACCTTTAGATCCTATGTATGCTGCATTAATGCATTTATATCGGTTATCCTCAATATCAATAGCCTCCTGAGTTCTGACGGTCCTTCAACAGCACAAATATGCAAATTTGTTGTGTAAATCAAAATTCATGGCTAAATCAAGATACGCGTATTTACATATGCGTGGCGTGCATCTTGTTCGCTTATAAATATTGTTATGCTGTCTAAAACGAAATAAAATTTACATATCACATTAAATTTACCTTATTGCACTTCAGAATCAAGATTTCGGCGCCAATACTTCTGCTCAAACAGTCAAACTGTAGTTCGTGCTACTCATAGCGCCTAGCAACTGCTCACTGAATCAAACTCTCCGATATTTAGGCCAATGAAACTGTAGATTCTGTTTACCGTCCGAGAATTTAAAAAATCTGATGCGGGTTTTTTTCATTATTCATTTTTAATTATTTTTGTTATTATCTATTCTCCGACCAAAAATGATCCTTAAATCGTTTTCTTTTGATCTCGATCATCAACACTTATGTCCACCATTCTTTTATCATTTTTGGCCTTTCCTTTGCTGAAAATTTCTTTGTTACGCCATTGTTTTCGAATTTGCACATGTCAGACTCGCGAATTTCCAAGTGTACCGAACAAATGCCGACTGATCCATCATACATCAGCGATGTACGGCTTTTTATATCGAAGATTTGATCATTTGATGTATATTTGAAAGTTTCGATGCGTAGAATTAAAAATAATGACGAATAATGAAAATAATTAAGAATAATGAAAAATTCTTGCGGTAGTTTCAAGCACATGCGGGCGGTGGACGGTAAACAGAATCTACAGTTCCATTGGCCTTAGCGTCGATTTTCCTCCCAAGATCAGCGCAACAGTCTTGTAAGACAGCTAAATCTTTCACCGCAAATGCGGATTCAACCGTTTCATGAATACTACAAGGATGGGAGCAGCAGTCATTTCTGAATTTTCCGTAGATATATATCTTTAAATTGAATCTTTCGACAAAGCTCCAACATGACACTTCGAATGAGCGCGCGCTCGGAAAGACTTTACCACGCGTGAAATATAAGATTAATGATATTCAGACTAATGGGGCGCCCCTGACTTTTGTAAATCGATCAGAACTCCCCACAGGTCAGTCAAATTTGCAAAAAATTTGTTTCCATGGAAATAAGCGTCTAGACCAATCAGAACACTGGATTTTGACTTTTTGACTGACCGACTTTGCGTATGTCAGCTGCTCATTGACTTGACTAAGCTCGTCGGCTCAGCTACTGTATGAAATTTGATCACTGGACTACAGTTCAATTGGAATGTTAATTGCTAGCGCTGCATGAAAATAGATACTGGACTATTATAAAGTGCCACTGCATGATAAAAAATAACTGGACTATTGGTCGAATATTTAATGCTTTAATTAATCAGACTTTAATTAAGTTTGTAATTTTTACGTTAGTCGCGTGACTGGTTTGACGACCCCTAGATCCGCCCCTGCTGCGAAGCAATTACAAGAGACTTAACCTACCTAAACCAAACACTATAACTTTCTGAAACACAGTTTCTCATATCGCGGAGCAGCGGAATAATCTTCCTAGCGAAATTGTTGACAATTATGAATGCCTTTCACTAAATTCATTCAAACGACTAATTCAGAACCACGTTAGTTGAAGGTGGAAAAAACTGTGCAAAATTTATTTGTAATAGAAACGCGTTATTGGCTGTTACCATATTTGTAAATATCTTGTTATAAAATTATGTTGCATGATTTTTGATACTATAGTTTCTATAATTTTAGGTTTATATTGCATGTAAATTGACTAAAGCACGGCCCTTTGAAAAAACAGGAAACTAAAAGGTCACCCACCGTACATAAATATATTTAAATAATAAAAAGTGGATAGTGTTTTCGCGCAATTCGATTGGTTACTTAGGTCCGGATATCCTTGAAATATTCACCTCCGCACGAAAACACAATGTCTTGCGGTGAGGACTGCAGCCACAAGAAGTCAAAGCTATAGACTCATTTAAAAATTTCTGTCGGGCAGTATGGACACATTATACTAAATTTTAAACTATGAACTATATATCGTATACTGTACTTGATGGATATATGTTAGTATATTAGAAAATGTAACTCGTTATTTGTACAGGGCCTCCATTGATACCAATGTTGCTACACTGAAGGGGTTACCTTGTCGAAATAAATGCTATCTATCTACCATGCATACCAGAGTTAAAAAATGAAAGGGTTACCAAAATAAGAAAAGAGAGACCTGATAACTAGTCTGTTGCTATGACAATCACATAAACGTTCCAAAATGTTTGCCCTTACTAACTGTATCAAATTTCACTTAATTTCGTTGAATCACTGAGATATTAGACTTCCAATTTTTGTTGCCAACTTAACCACAACTATAGTGACGTCATGATACAAAAATAATGCCCGATAACTTGGAACGACTGTAAATAAATTGTTAAGGCCATTCAACATCAATTTCAAGATACTTTAAAGTAATGCATAAAAAATAGGGGAGAATTTCGTGTCATGCGCACTTTACTTTGTTGTTAGTTGTCCGATATGCTTCTTATTCTATTTGGATTGTTAGATATTAATGTTAATTAATGTTGATGCACTTAAGGGGGGCGCCGTAAAGGTTCTCTACATTTTATATTTTTGTTGCCTCTTCCGCAGGCAACTCTGTAGTTCTGCAACGTTAAATTATGTTCTCAAAAAATCGGCTTAATTCATATCAATAACTAAAGATTTCTTGCCAGAAAGAAAAACTATATAAATTGAAATGGTTTGGGGCGGACAAATAAGGGGGTGGGAAAAGACGAGGCAAAATGATTTTCTTTTCACAATATCACAATATTCATAATTTACCGCCCCAGCCTTTCCAATTTATGCTGCTTGTTTTTTATATCGTATTTTCTACGTTTCTGGCAATCAAGTTCATATAACACAAGAAATTTGACAGATTTTCGCATCCATTATGTAGAACGAACATTTTTCTATAAAATTTCAAGGTCCAAAATGTTTAACTCTCTTCCATTTGAATTAGTTATTTCTATTTCCTAAGTTTCATTTAACAGGGATCATAGAGTATATTTGCCTTACAGTAAATATTGAATTGGCTTTCAAAATTGCTGCTAATGTTAACAATAAGTTATTGTTGTTGATGCACATTTGTCTACTGAATTTATATCTAAATAAATAGTATAAATTTTGATTATTGTCTTTCCATGCATATGCGCGTCCATCCTGCAAACATTGAACAGGAGCAAAACTGCACTCCTCGTGATGCGACAACAAAGCTTCACGTCTTACTGCGCTCGTACATCCACGAGTGGCATACCTACATCTCTGAGAATGAAACTGCTGGAGTTGATTCGCCACAGTTCTCGGGATAGGATGAAGTGTTTCGGGAGTAAGTGCACCTTGATAAACAGGGCAGGTTTGTGATCGCGTTAAATGCTTGGTTACACAGCGCTTACAAAAATAATGTTCATTCTTCACACACTGAACAGGTTCTTGTAGCACTTCCAAACATGTAAAGTGGTCAAGATATGCGGTATCACTGAAAAATTAATTTTAAGGGACTACATGGGTTAGCTTGTCAGTGGGATAAGGAGTATCAGTGAGAATAAGGTCCTTGTTGTAAGTTCCCAGCGCAGTGCCGCCAGTTTTCCGCACAGCATTTGCTTCTGCTACTTAATGAAAATATATGTATATAGTATTGCTTAAAATACGTCATAGTGATTCATTATACAATTACTTTATGGTTTCCGTGTTTGGATGACCTGATCCAAACATGCGGGAATGTTGCGAGAGTTAAGAAAAGCGAGCGAACACGAGCCGAAGGCGAGTGATTTTGCCCGCTTTTCTTAACTCGAGCAACATTCCCAAGTGTTTGGATCAGGCCATCCAAACATGGAAACCATAAAGTAATTGTTTTATAAAATAACAGCAACACGATAGTCTTCCGTGTTTGGATGGCCTGATCCAAACGGGTTTCGACCAATCAGAGCACGCGTTATATACATGTTATTTTATAATGTAATTTAATACCATTATTGATTGAGGCTAATATGCAGGGCTCTCACTTTTGGGGAAATTTTCCCAAAACGGGGAAATTGGCGGATTTTTGGGGAGCGATCTGGGGAATCGCATTTTTTGGGGAAATTTTTGGGGAATTTTTTGAAATATTGGTCAAGCTAGATGGAAGTACATGGAACTTATGTTTCAATTGTTTTTGCCTGGTTTTGTGCACATTTGGTTCAACTTGTGTTGAAAATGATAAGTGACAAACATTCAGCTGATTCATGACTATCATGAATACACAATATAATTTGATTTGCGAGTACTGTACGCCACGTGCTAATAAACAGGTTATACACTGACACATGTTTTGAGCTATATAATATATATTTTAATGCCAACGAAACCTTGCAGTCATTTCACTAATCACTCTAGTATCAAAATAGCAGTGCCAAGGTTCAAAATGAATTATTTACTCTACATTACGCAATGATAACAATATCAATTTAGAATCCTTAAAAAATTAAGTGATGGATGAACTGTGAAGGAATGTAACTTTACTCTTTAGTTAACTTTGCTGTTATTGACTATACTAGTATAGGCTAGCAGCAATACTGTTATAAAACGTGAGATTGAAACCGCTCATGTTTAAAACATTAAACACATCATTATTCTTAATATTTTTTGTATAAATTATTAATTTTTGAAGTGTATTTTCCACGTGAATTACGTATTGTTAAGGAAATACTTCATGTTACTATGTTATGTTTGTCTAGGGAATTTTACGGAAATCTGAGGAAATTTTGAGAATTTTTTAGGCAAATCTAAGGAATTCTTAAATTTGATTGTGAGAGCCCTGCTAATATGTAAATTCAGTGTGATCAGATCGTAGCGAGACGAGGAAGTCTAAAATCGCGTTGTAAATAGAAAATCTTTCCAATGAAATAAATCGATAGAATACAGTCCCCTGAATGTTATTGTGTGTGAACCAGTGTGCGCGGAGATCAAAGTGAAGATTCTGCAAAACAGTGGTCCTTCGAACCGGATTTGTGAATTGTGTGCGACGCTGCGAACAAAGAGCATTTGATATTTGCGCTGCCGTCGACAGTGGATAGATTTGCGTAAAGTTTGAAAACGAAGAGTATGGACGATCTGACGAAGAAAAAGCGAGTTAGAGGAGGCCACAGAGCATCGGCAAGTAAGCTTGTGGCAAAGATAGTTGAAGCGATACCGAAAGCAAGCCCAGAGAACCCAGAGAAGGACGTAGTATGGCCGAGACAAAGCCAGATCACATTACATGACAAAATCAAAATGTTGAAGGAGCTCGATGAACAAGTTATTGATATACTCAGCGCATCGAAAGACGAAGACGCTGACGAACAACTTGGCAAAGAAATCGAGGATTTAGATGAAGCGATCGCAGAATTGGAAAGAACGTTGCTTCAACTCGATGACGCGCTAGGAAAACTCGGAGGACAAAGCCTGCCATTGTTGACGCCAACGAATAGATAGATAGATTTATTTAACCACGCTAACCTCGTCAACTACAGCTGATTTCCACGAGCGGCGTGTGAACAAGAAGTATACAGCAAATATGAAAAGTATTTAAAAGCTATTTACAAAGTAGAAAACATAGTATAAAATATATTAAGTATACGAGATAATAATGTATTTACAGATGCATATATTTGCTTTAATTATCAATGTGAGCAGCGATTTTCGTCAGAAAGGAAGAAAGGGATTTGCTCTCTTTAATTTCCTTTGGAATAGAATTCCAAAGGAATGATCCATCATACATAAAACTTTTTTTCAAATTATTAGTCCGGGGTTGCGGTAAACGAAGAGTACTTGAAACGTTTCGAAGATTATAGCTAATCATCTCACTTTTATAAGTGAATAAGTTAGTGAGTGATGGAGGGCCCATGTTATTTAATAATTTATACATCATTTTTGCCTTGGCTTTCTTCCTTTCTACTTTAAGTGTCTTCCAGCCCAATGCTTGCAATGCTACAGAATGATCTGTGTCATTGCTCATATTCATGATAATTCGAGCAGCTCTATTTTGGAGTTTTTGAAGTCGTTTTGATTGTGTTTCACCGAACACATCCCATACTTAACAGCAGTAATCGAAGTACGGGCGAACAATAGCATTATAAACAGAAAGAAGCGTTTGCCTGTCAACAAAATTCTTTAAACGTCTAAGAGCAGAAATTCCTGATGTTATTTTCCTGCAAATATTTTCAGTGTTACTTTTCCACGACAAATGCTGGTCGATTGTCACACCAAGAGTTTTGCACTCATGCACTTCTTTAATCTGTTTGTCTTCAATTACCAGATTTGGCTGCAAATTTGAAACGCTTTTAATCATTTGTTTTGATCAAAGTCATGTTTCAATATCATGTGCAGGTAAAATCATAAGAGCGAAGCTTCCGAAACTTAGACTACGGAATTTCGGCGGAAAGATTTGTGAATGGCCAGAGTTTTGGGATGGATTTTCGAGCTCGATAGACAACAATGACCAATTGTCGGATGTTGACAAGTTCGCCTATCTGCGCGGATATTTGGAAGGGCCAGCAAAGTCTACCATCGCTGGTCTCTCGTTGACGGGAGCGAATTACAAGTGCGCGGTGGAATTATTAAAGAAACGGTTCGAAAAGAAAAGCGCAGTACAACGGGCGCACGTAAATGAACTGATGCAATTGCCGGCGGTTTATAAAGAAAGAGATACACGGAGATTGCGGAAGTTGTATGACAGCTGCGAAGCGAACAACTGCGCATTGAAAGCCCTGGGAGTGAACGAAGACTCGTATTCAGCCAATGTTGTTCCAACAATCATGGAAAAGTTGCCAGAACAGTTTCTTTGACCATCACGCGAGGGCAGAACTTTCTAGAATGGTCGATGGAAGAAATGTTAGACACCTTTGAGAAGGAACTCGAACTTCGCGAAGCGCACAATGCAGTGGGAACGAATTCGGATCGAGAGCAGGAAAGACACGAGCGAAATTCGGGTATAAAGGAATATGGCCAACATCAGCATAGAACTGCAGCTGCATTGTTAGCAAACGAAAGGAGAGGAAACTGTGCCTTCTGTCTGAAGAACCACAATCACGAAGACTGCGAGGGAGTGAAAGATCCGAAAACACGAAAGAGTTTGGCTCGTAAATACGGTAGATGTTTTCTTTGTTTATTTAAGGGCCATAGATCCAGTAATTGTACTGTTAAAAATAGGTGTAAAGTTTGCAATGGGGCACATCATGTTGCATTATGTGATGCAAGCCCTAAAAAAGACGATAAACGTGATAAAACAGTCGAACCTGACGAAGAATCTAAACAGGTCCCTGTTAATACTAATGTGCATGTGACTAGTTCCAGTAGTAACTTGCATGCGGGAACTGGTAGCCTGGTTGCCTTGCAAACTGCACGCGGGGTTTTAAGGGGTGAAAGGGTGGCTAAGGTACGGGTTTTCTTTGATGCGGGAAGTCATCGTTTTTTTGTTACTTCTAAAGCAGCTAGTCTTGTGAATCCCAAGGGCTTAAGAAGGGAATTGTTAGGGATTAATACGTTCGGTCAAAAATGTACCAATGCCGAGCACAGGGAAGTGGTCGAATTAAAGCTTGAACCTGTTAACGGGAATAAGGTTATCTCCTTAGAAGCATTTGTAGTGCCAGAAATTTGTAGAATACAGAATGGCCATGTAGAACTAGCAAGGAGAGAATACCCTCATTTGAAAGGTATATGGTTTTCAGATGTCTCGAAGTGCCAGGGTGAGCTAGAGATAGATGTGTTGATAGGGGCAGATTACCTCTGGAATTTTTAGACAGGTGTAACCAAGAGAGGTAAATCAGGAGAGCCAGTTGCCATAGAAACTGAGTTAGGATGGGTTTTATCAGGGCCTTTGAGAGTGCAAGACATAAAGGGAGCAGAGTTAGCCCAAGTAAATTTTGTAGCTCATAGAATGAATAATGAAGATAGTTTGGAGAGTAATGTACAGAAGCTGTGGAGTTTTTAAGGGTTAGGTATCTATGAGGAAGATAAGGTTCATGAGAAGTTTTTAGATGGCATATCTTTCCCAGGTTGTAGATATTCAGTGAAACTACCCTGGAAGGAAAGCCACGACAAATTGCCTGACAATTATGCAAATAGCGTAGGTAGAATGAAGAATCAGTTAAGGCGACTGAAGAAGGAGCCAGCATTGTTGACAGAGTATGATTCTATCATCAGAAAACAGGTAGAGCGAGGGATTGTAGAACCAGTAGTAGCATTAGAGAAAGTTGATAAAGTTCATTATTTACCACACCAGGCGGTCATTCGCAAGGATGCAGTGACCACAAAGGTTCGGGTTGTTTATGACGCTCCATCTAAGGAATGTAATCAGGAACATCACTTAATGACTGCTTGCATATTGGGCCATCCCTCAATCCATTACTATATAGCATATTGATGCGGTTTAGAGAAAACAGGATTGCTTTAGTAGGCGATATTGAAAAGGCTTTTTTGAATGTGGAGGTTGATGAGGCAGATCGAGATTGTTTGAGGTTTTTGTGGGTAAAGGATATTGAGAGTGATAAGTGGGAAACAGTTGTTTATAGGTTTTATAGAGTAGTATTTGGATTGAATGCATCTCCGTTCTTACTCAATGCAACATTAAGATATCATGTCTCAAAGTATCTTGAAACAGATCCTGAGTTTGTGAAGAAGGTGCTAGAAAGTTTCTATGTAGACGATTTAGTTAGTGGGGAAAGTACGGTAGATAAGGCATTTCAGTTATATGATAAGACTATGAGTAGAATGGCACAAGGGGGGTCAACTAACAGTAATACATTGGAATGTAAAATTAAGGTGCATGAGACAGACTAATGTGAGATTAAACACATTGTTGAGGATCATCAATCGTATGCAAAACTATCCCTTGGAGTAACAGGATGTGAATCAAAATGCCATAAAGTGTTAGGACAGGCATGGGATAACAAAAGCGATGAGTTGCAAAGGTGGGGAAAAGGGCAAAAACCTTATCACCTACAAAGCGAAATCTATTGAGTGTTTGGGCAAGTTTATTTGATCCTCTCGGAATAGTTAGTCCAGTGATTGTATGTGCCAAAATATTGTTCCAAGAAGTATGTAAGGATAAAGTTGATTGGGATGAAAACTTCACTGAGGAGTTACTGCATAAGTGGGAGGGTTGGTACAGGGATTTGATAGAAACTAAGGAAATTGCCATTCCTCGCTGTATATATCAACATCGTGCAGAAGATGTTTTGGAGTGTACCTTACATGGATTTGGCGATGCGAGCAAGAAGGCATACTGTGCAGTTGTATATTTTGTGTATCGTACTAATGTAGGGGTTTATGTCCGCTTATTGACATCAGTAAAAGCGTCACTTGAAAACCAAGTTAGGATAGATAGTACCATATTTTGGCTTGACAGTATGACAGCACTCTACTGGATAATGAACAAGGGTGAATGGAAACAATTTGTCCACCACCGAGTAAATGAGATCTTAAAGCTAACAAACAAAGGGGATTGGGGGCATTGTCCCAAGGTTGAAAATCCTGCTGACAATGGGTCTAGAGGTGTAATCGCTTCACAATAGCTGTTATCAAAATTGAATGCGTCTATGCTACGGAGCAGCGGCATCTGCATTATTTTAACATGGAGACGAGGCTATAGGGTCATGTTTTGTGTTTTTTGACCCATTAGCTTCGTTTTCGTGCGTACTTCCACTGAGATACCGCTGGTATTCCGCAGCGGCGTATTCAATTACGATAACAGCTATTGAAAAATAACAAGCTATGGTGGGTGGGGCCAGATTGGCTAACTAAGTCCAAAGAGGAGTGGCCAAAATTTGAGGCTACTGATAAGACAAAGACAGTTTTGGAAGAGGAACGAAAGTCTGTAGTAATGGTTGTAGAGGTGACAGAGCCATCTAGTATAAGTAGAGCGATTGACTTGAATGATTATGGGACAGCGGAACGACTTTTTAGAGTAACAGCTTGGGTACTTAGGTTTGGGTTTAATGTACGAGCAAAAGCAAGGGGCATTGATAGGCAAAGTGGAGAGTTGACAGTGAATGAGTTAGTTGAGGCAGAGAGTATATGGATTAAAGAGGCTCAGGCAGGGTTGAAAGTAGATAGAAAGTACACCCAGCTGAGTAATAGTTTAGGTTTGATAGAAGAGGAAGGCATTCTGAGATGTAAAGGTAGATTACATAATTCTGAGTTAGAGTTTAATACCAAACACCCAATCATTATACCCAAGGACCACAGACTTACTGAATTGATTGTGCAAAAATGTTACAGTGAAGTGCATCATTGTGGTGTACGGGCAACCTTAGGAAGATTAAGGACAAAATATTGGGTTGTGAAATGAAGACAAATGGTGAAGCGGATTTTAGGTAGATGCGTCACAGTCACAGGTAGTGTAGCACATCACATCCGTCACAGGTAGTGTAGCACAGACCGCAGATTTGCCAGGATTTCGAGTTGGGGAAGCTGCACCCTTTTCTAATGTGGGAATAGATTTTGCAAGTCCATTGTTTGTAAAGTGTTGTGCAAAATGTCCAAGTAAAGTTTATATAGCATTGTTTTCTTGTTGTGTGACTAGAGCTATACATTTGGAGCTAGTTAGGGATTTGTCTGCAGAGACATTTTTATGTTGTCTACGGAGATTTGCTGCTAGGAGAGGAATGCCAAGCCTCATAGTATCTGACAATGCCAAAACGTTTAAGGCAGCAGAAAGGGCAGTTAGACGGTTGTTTAACCAACCTAAGGTTAAGGCGGAATTGCAAACCAAACGAGTAACATGGAGGTTTAATTTAGAAAGAGCGCCTTGGTGGGGAGGATTTTTTGAGAGAATGGTTCGGAGTGTTAAACGGTGTCTTAGAAAGGTTCTAGGTAATGCCAAATTTACAGTAGATGAACTTACCACAGTGCTAGTAGAGATAGAGGGTACATTAAATGCTAGACCATTAACAGATGAGTATGAAGAGTGTGAAGGAGAGGTTTTGACACCGTCACACCTAATTTATCGTAGAGCTATTAACTTCATACCACAGAGGGAAGCAGTTAGAGAGGAACGTAGCTGTGGAGAAAGATTTAAGTATATTACGTTGAAATTACAACATTTCTGGAAGAGGTGGCAAAGTGAGTATCTGACAGGGTTGAGAGAATTTCACAAATGTAAGAGTGGAAATGCGAGAAAGAGGGTGAAGAAGGGAGATGTAGTGACTGTGTATGGAGGAGAGAAACGAGGTAATTGGAAATTAGCGAAAGTAGAAGAACTAATTATAGGTAAGGACAAGGAAGTTAGAGGGGCCAAAGTAAGAGTTGCAGGGAAGGGTAGACCAGTTTACCTGAAAAGCCGGTCCAGAAACTTTACCCGTTAGAGATTCAAGCTCTACCGGGTGGGAAAGGGAAGGAAGGGAATTCCTCTTCAGCTGAGTCAGTTCCTTGCATGATTTGCATTAGCGTCCAAGACGAGCTGCTGCTGTTATTTCCAAATCGAAGACAAGGGCGATGCTTGATTCATAGATGAATCCTTTATGAATCAAGGTGGATGGGGTGTTGTAAGTTCCCAGCGCAGTGCCGCCAGTTTTCCGCACGCATTTTCTTCTGCTACTTAATGTAAATATATGTATATAGTATTGCTTAAAATACGCCATAGTGATTCATTGTAATTTAATACCATTATTGATTGAGGATAATATGTAAATTCAGTGGTGATCAGATCGTAGCGAGACGAGGAAGTCTAAAATCGCGTTGTAAAATAGAAAATCTTTCCAATGAAATAAATCGATAGAATACAGTCCCCTGAATGTTATTGTGTGTGAACCAGTGTGCGCGGAGATCAAAGTGAAGATTCTGCAAAAGTCCTCATGCAGATGAACACATCCCTATTTAGGTATTAATTCCATGGCAGAAAACATGCCGTTGGGCCATATCTTCCAAAATGCATTTGTGGGAGCTCTTTCCATGTGTCTTCGCCCAGTACCAAGCATTCTGCTGTCTTGGTCGCCACGCAGCCATAACCTCGATTTTTGGTATTTCCACCAATAGCAATGATAGTATATCCCATAATTACTGCAGCACATCCTAGTCTAAAAAGATCAATTATGCCTTTTTAACAAGAAAATCCAAGCTTTGCAATAGGCAATTCCAGCTTTTAGTTTATGCATGCAGGGGATGATGGGAAGTAAGGTATCATATTGCCGATTATGCTGAAAATTTTCAGTAAAAACTACCGAAACAACCGAAATATTTCAATATTTACAAGTATAAGCTATCAGTCCGTGTTTACACCAGTGGCGAAGCCAGCGGTCATGCAGGTCATGCAGTGCATGACTAAAAATTTCCCCAAAAATGTTTAAAAATAGTTCAATATAATTGTTTACAATAGAATCATACTTTATCTTTGCACTTCTACGCCTAAGTATTTTATTTATTATTTTGTTTACCCAAATCAATGGTCTTTAGGCGATATTCTTGCTAAATATTCTCGTATGTTATTGATTTTGGCTTTGTTACCTTGGCAACTGAGCGGTCCTGCATATTTTGCACTTTCAGAATTTCATGACTAGCTGTATTATTTTATATTAGGTTTGTTGGTTTCTGATTGGCTTACGACGTTCGCGCACGCGCAATGCGGCTGTTTTTGACGCCTTGGTCATGCAATTTTCGATTTGCATGACTAAACGGGCAACACAACCTGATCACAGCCTCTTAGCTCGAAGCTTTCAGCCTGAATGAACACATCTTCAGGTCATTCAAGCATGTCGACTTCTTCTTTACTCGAAGCTAACGATATTGTTTGGGAATTGGTGAAAAATACATTTTCTGCTGAGCAGAATATTATTGTTTATAAGCAGAGACAAAGGCCAGATCTTTCGACATGCCCGATCAGGAAGGTTTTCAAATGTCGTGTTATTCAAAGAAAGAATGGTTTGGCCAGTCAGGCTTAGGCTAAATAAGCTATTGCCTATTGGTATTTAGTTATTGTTACATGTATTTTGTCTTGAATATTTAAGCCTTCAACCCGAACATAGCCGTATAAAGCATCGAACGCTATATACTATATGAAATACAATGTCAATGTCGAGGTCAATGTACGTAGTAAACAATGTAGTTCTATAAATAGCGCTGCAAAGCTTATACATTTCAACACGCAACACAAACATTTTAGCGATTGTGATTTAGCAACATATTTGATATATACTTGTTTGTGAAACAAACAAAGAAATTTCAATATATATTGTTAAATTGTATTTACCATTTGGTACATACTCCCCGTGCGTTCGAAAATATCCAATATTGCAATAATCGATATGAATGCCGAGTTCGCCTAAACTGACAGTAAAATTTCTACTCAAACATCTGATAATGGTTAATTCATTTCTGTATGTAATATTGTAATAATTGGGCATTGATTTTAAATTAAGGAAATTGATCAAGGCTCGTGCGTTATATTTTCCAAGTCCTGCATATTATATCTATATTCTAGATTATACTGACTGTATTAGCAGCTATTTGTCATTAGCTGTCATTATCTTCCGTTAGTATATATGTGGTAAAATTGTATCTAGTTCTGGAAATGTGAAAACTCTTCAGACTTCACGTTGGAATACTACAAGGGGATAGCATATCAAAGTGATCAATTAAAAATTGATAATACAGAACATGCATGTAATATTTTCTGATCGAAAAGAAATGCACAATTGCCGGTATGACTATAACTAGTGGAACAGCAGACCACAGATTTCCTATTTTTGTGTCGATCTTCATTATTGTTGTCTGAAATATGCCAAAATATCCACATATTTTCCCGTCATTAGATCAAGCTATTTTCTGAATTTGATGCTCAGATTGCTGCAAATGGCGTTTCTGGGGTCTATATTTCAAAAATTTTCAGGGGGGCATGCCCCCGGACGCCCCTAGGATGTCTCACGCCTTCGGCGCTCGTTTGCATGACCACTCACACGACGCTGGCTTCGCCACTGGTTTACACGCCACCATTATTATTTTTTCAGCATTATCAGCAATGTGATACCTTACTCCCCATCGTCCCCTGCACGCATAAACTAAAAGCTGGACTTGCCTATTCAAGCACAAATTTTCACCAAACGTTTATTAAATGATTAAAATTTCTAAAAATGTTACTAAAAATATCATTACTATTTTTTTTTCAAAAAATGACGATATTTTACCAAAATTGAAATATTTTATTGGTCGAACTGTGTCACCTAGGAATTCATCCGAATGGTTGTGAACTCAAAAGGGAAAATCCTACGAATATTTGGGTACGGTTTCGAATTTGTTCGCTCCTATTGGTTGGTCTTTGTGGTAGAAAGGTGGGATTCTGTTACATTAAGGTTTGGATCTAAATTCAGGCCGATTCCAATATAGTACCAATTTAAACACAAGTAAGGTATTTAGTAAGGTGACAAGATCTATATAATAGTTTTTATGCCTACCCTCAGCAAATGAAGATGATATCAAATCAAACAAAAGTGTCTTACCTGCATGTCAATGTATTTTCGATAAATAACCACACACTCTCTGGTGAAACTTTGTTAAAGCCATGTTGTTCAAATTGTTGATTGTTTTAAATTTTATACAGTTTCGTGTTACTGGCCAGTGCAAAAGAATGTAAATCTGGTCAGAAATTGCTCGAATGTAAATCTGGTCGATAATTGCTTCCGACCATTTTGTTATCGTGTCAATGTATTTTCGATATAATTGATGGCTTTGTAAATTAATATTTATTTACTTTTTGTGTGTCACTATAGAGAATTCCGCCTCGACTTAGCGGCCTTGTCTTATTAATGTTTGTACCTATATTATATTATACTGTATGAATAAATTGAAATTGAAATCGAAATTGAAATTGAAATTGAAATTGATAAATATAACCACGCACTCGCTGAATGGTCAATCATTTGTGGTGAAACCTTTTTAGAGTCATGTTGTTCAAATTGTTGATTGTTTTACCCAGTTTCGTGTTACTGACCAGTGCAAAAGAACGTAAATCTGGTCAGAACTGTGAATTAAGGTGTTGTACCATACCTGCGGGTGATGTAATCTGTCGTGAGAGATGTTTGGGGTTATCATGTGAACTTGATGTACATTGCGATGGCGACTGCTGTGTAAACTCAACATGTAGCAGTTGTCTTTTGAAAAGGTTTGTAAATGTTTCCTTTTTAAAACTCAACTGTACATTTTTGTCCCCTTTGATAACGTTATTACGATGTTATTAACAGAAAGATACCCAACGTGTTAATACGAAAAATTGTGGAGTCAATAGAAATAGTTCACGAACAAATCGATTAAATTTTGGTCCAATTTGGGTGAAAATTGCATGAGAAATTAGCAAACCTTTGTTTTGCAAGCTGTTCCATTTACTGTTCGGAGTACTCCGGATTTTTGGAACACTAATGGAATGGAACAGAAGAACCCCGATTTTCGAGTAGGAACAGCCAGAACAGACACGTGACACTGCCTATTTTCACGTGATTGGAAATGGAGGCGACATATTTTGTGTATCCAATTCACACTGCATAGAACGTTATTTTGAAGGGTTAACCGCTATATATCGACATATAATTACTGACGGTCATAATAACCTATTGTTTTCTCTCTTGCATTATATCAGCGAATGTCGAGAAGTTTTAGCGTTCTTCTGAAAAACGGGAGCGGTGTTTTTTGATTGTAGGGAAATTCCCGGGGGTAAATGTTTATACGGGCTAAAATAGCACACAGCATTATTAAAAATAATGCAGCGTGCACACAGCATTATTAAAAATAATGCAGCGTACACACGGCATTATTAAAAATAATGCAGCGTGTATCAGTGCACACAGACATTATTCGCAATCCTTCGTCATCCTGACAAGTACACGCAATAACGTGAACATCTCAAGATGAGAAGTTGGCAGTGCTAAAGGCCCCTCATGTCATACAATATCATCGGGCGCCTGAAGCCCTGCCAAAACGGTCACTGTGAGTCCTTTCAGCTCAACTTTATAGAGAAATAGTTTCGTTTGCGCTTGTGGGATTTTATCCTAGATATACGCATGTGCAGAACACACCATAAGTTCTATTCCCGTGTTTATCCAGTTTAATACGCTCTTTGAATTAACCTTATCATTAATGATAATATGTAAACTAGAACACTATAATCGACCTCCGCTTGTGGAGATTTTAATTTAGGGCGATTAATTAAACTGAAATCTGTTCTATCACGATGCATTACATGCATGTCCTCACAAATGTCTAGTGTAACGTTGGATAGATTCATTGTCATACGGTCCCAACAAGCATCAACGTAGTCTTCCAGCCGAAAATAATTACTTTTGATTCGGGTCAGTAATTATAATAGATAATTACTTCGGCCAAACGGCATTATTCGATATATTGCAGCCAGCTTCGGCCTTCGGCCTCAGCTGGCTGCAATATATCGAATAATGCCGTTGGCCTCAGTAATTATCTATTAAATAATTATTATATGCTATTTGAACGCCAGGGTTGGGCAAAATCAACGAGTAAAAACGTTGCAAAAGCATACTTAGATATACAAATAACAGCGAATCATTATACGCTTTAGGCTATTATGCGAATAACTAATTATATAGTAATGCATGGTTGCACGCATATATAATAAACTAAACACTGTTCCAGAACATCGTGTGAACTCCATTTTGTATCGTTCCAAAACAGTGTTCCAAATGCTGTAGAACAGTAAATGGAACTTTTATGTATAACTTTGCATAATTATTTATGTATAATTTATGCATAATTACTGTTGCTTTTATGTATAATTTATGCATGATTCGTGACATAATTTGCTGGTGATACACTGTAGTGTGAACGAGTTGTTTAGTAGTTAAAAGTATATGCACTTAACTCTCCCGCATGTCACAAACCGAGGGCTTGACAGCGCTTTTCATATCTTTCGAAAATTGAATTCAATAATTGTTTTATTATTTATTTAAAATATGAAAAAGACATGCGCACCTGCGGGTTCAAATAACGTTCAATTCGTGGAAGTAATTGACCAGTTCTTTTTAATTTCCCATTTGCGGAAAATCTTTCTTTTCTCTCATAAGGACGTTAAGGTTACAGGACACCCTTTTTGGCGTTTTGCGGAAAATCGCTGTTGCGCGCTCAATATCAGTCCGATTTTCATCAAATTTTCGCCAAATGTTCTCCACTGCATGCAAAATATGGTAAAGTTGTAAAATTAACAAACAATAAAATAATGTAAGAATTATTCAGGAAAATATTAAATCGCGGTACCGTTACGCTTTTGAGTTGTGCTCCTGCTGGTTTTAAGTTATATTTATGAAAATATCATTTTATACAGTAAAATAGTTGTTCTAGAAAATTATGTTCGGAAATTTTTGTTTATTTCGTCACTCCGCTGATATTGCGATTTCTTTGACGACAGCAATATATTTCTGAATTGTTTGAGTGAATTGCCCTTTATTTTTAAAATATCCAAAATTAAAAAAAATCCGAACACTATTATGAAACTGACGTCTTTATATATGTCCTGTGAAAATTTGAGAAAAATTGGTTAAAACCCGCAGGAGCACGACTCGTTTGAAAATCAGTAATTACCGTAAACTTTTTCGGGAGAAAATTGAATTTGAATATTACATTTTCAATGTTTTTCTTATTGCAGCGAAATGTATTTTATCAAATAACTCTGCGAGTTTTCAACATTTTTCGTTCAAACTTGGTTAGATAGTAGAACTAGTCTAATGCTTTCATGGAAACCAATAAAAAAAATTTAGGCAAAATTAACACTCAAAGGTGTTCTGTAACCTTAACGTCCTGTGCTAGTCGTTATCGCGAGATGCAATATTTCTGTGTCATTTTTCAAACGTTGTGGACTTACGTGAAATTTCGTGAAGGAATCTGCAAGGAGAAAGTCAGTGTATATGCTGTTCCATTTTTGGACACCTTTGGTTGTTCTGTAAGAAAATATGTGACTTATGAATTCTTTAAGTAAAATATATAGCATGAACAACCGATCTGTATCCTTCTAACTAATCGAGAAAAGCGAACCTAACGTTTATATAAATCAAGACGAAATCTGCATCCGATTTACAAATATTGCTTAAAGTTATTCCTTTCTTTTATTCATTACGACTTAATGTAGAAGAAGAACTTACTTCCATTGGTAAATTTCCCTTTACTTTCACCGTAGGGTCCACGACCAACTTTGGTACTTGCAAGAACACGAACATAATATTTGCTTAATGCATTCAAACTTGCGATAACTAACATCTTTTCCTTTGTAGTATACTTTTCAAAGCAAAGTTCGCTTTCTTCATGTGAAATACACACAGTATAACTGACGATAATGCCATTTCTTTTGTCTTTTTCAGGAGGTTCCCACGTGACAGATAATGATGATAAGCTTTCTGCAGTCACTTTGACATACAATGGAGGACCTTCTGGAGCTAAAATTCAATTGAGATAATATGGAAAGTTGTTTTTTGTAAAATAAAATATTGTATTAGCTAGAGGTGTATGGGGAGAGGGATTGGTTGGTAATAATACATGACAATTCTGCTGAATCTTGGCCATATAGTGCGATAATATCAACAATGTGTCACTGTGCGAGAGTTGTTTAAATTCCACATACATTGTTTAAATTGTATACGTTGTTTAAATTCAACATGGGATACCTTCCCTAGGAGAACCAGCCACGCTGGCTAACGCTTACGGACAGAAAGATTTAAGAAAAGTTGGACCAAGATGAAAAATTCGAACGTCAGACTAATCTTTCTTAAATGATATTGACGATCAAGGTCATAATTAATTTGTAATAATCACAAATATTCGGTTGCAATTTCATGCCATTAAACAAGGAACAGTCTATCAATCTATTTAAAAATGTAAAAGCAACTGCTGATTTTGTAAGAAACGAAAGAAAGCTTCACACCCTGCAGATTGACAAATATTCCTATGAATTGTCTACGCTTTTATCTATTTTATTTTATTTTACCTTCTTCTGATGTTAAGAACGATGTAATAGTCTCTTCTCCAAAACCATGTTTATTTCGAACAGCTACTGATATTTTGTATGTAGTGTATGGTGTGAGATTATCTAAATCGTATTCATTGTCTTTATCTTTGGTAATATTCTGGATGAAAGAGTTCTTTTCCTTCAGTTTAGTTCGAAATCCTGTAAGAACTCCATCTCCTGTGTTGTTAGGATCCACCCAAGATATTTTCACACTTCTTGACTTGATGTTAGTGACCATGAGGTTTGTAGGTTTATCTGGAAACAAAGCTAGAAAGAAAGGAGTTATAGTAAAATAACATTTTCATCTGTGTGTTCCAGGATACACGTAGGCTACTATATACGCATCGAACAAAGACTGAGAGTATCGGAGGTTTGAGTAAACATCCCTAAATGATTTGCGTGTAAACGTGTAATGACAGTCACTAACATAATAATAGAAATAATTGAATTTGTTGATTTATATCCTCTTTAACGAGAAAAGAAAAATAACTTACTAGTTCCACAAATTTCAATTCTCATACACGGTTGACCAACATATGATAATGGAATAAACCGCAAAGCTCTTGTTGTTATGTCTCCAGGGAAATCTTGTATAGCTGCATCATTGTAAGCATTTTTGTTTCCTTGAAATGTCTAAAGACCAAAAATATTTCTTTTCTTTAAGTTATACCGTTCTCATGTCATGCAACAAACTATAAGTTATAAAATAAATAACCTGAAAGGTTATATACTGTAGCAATTACCGTTGGGCTCACTGATCCCCAATTTATCAAATCAATAGTGTAATTCAAGTTATATGTAACCACCCACTTGGAACTGGTACCATCTCCAAATGTTACGAAATTGTGTATCAGATAAAGTCTTCCTAAGTTCATTTGAAGATAATGTTTCTCATCCGCGGCAGGAGCACACCAAGAACTGCCACTAGATATTCTTGCATCAGACGGACTGTGATCTGAAGATGCTGAGGCAGTGAATAACGAATCTGGAAATATTTGTTTATCTTCTAACAGTGACCGTTGACAAATATGACCTGAAAATGAAAATTAAGTCTTACGAACATTGTTTTTATCTCTTTCATTCTTTCTTTTCTGAATTCCATAACCTAAGTCACATGCACGTCATCCTTTTTGTAAAAAACCTACATTTTAAGTACGAGAGTGTCGAACACTGACTTTGTGGAGAAGTAGTAACCGAACATTGGGATAATTTTGTATCACCATCACTACACGCTATACTTCCAGAAAATATTTCATCTTTTAAATCCAATGGAACGGCCTTTTCAACCAGTGAGTCTGCTTGTTTGTAACCCAATTGATGACAAACAACATCCTTTGCGTTTCCTAAACTTTGCGAACAAACATTCTTGATCCCACTGTCAGTTGTAATTTTTACAAAACCTTCATTTGGTAGAGATGAATATGATAAAGACACACCATCAACTACAAAAACAAAACAAGAAAAAAGTTGGTCAATTCATCACAGTTTATTTGGCTTGCATGGTAACCTTTGAATTTCGGCAAAAAGTGAGTTTTTTTCTCGATCGTTTAAAACTTTTAAGAAAAATATGTGCAGTATAAAACAATTGATGAACCGTGCGAATGACCGTTACACCCATTTTCAAAATTACGCGAGCAGGCCAAAAATTGCTGGAGTTAACATGTCAGTTTTACGTCACACGGTCATGAGTTTAAAGCCACAAATTTGAGTTTTTCGTTTCATTATCGATGCTTTTATATAAAAATTTGCGATAAATTATGCTTCTTTATATAAAAATGTTTAGAAGGTTTCAGATTTGATTTCCACTACCGTTCACCATTAACCAATCAGATACGTTCAATCTACACGAATCAAATGCGTATTAAACCACTGACAGGTAGCAGTATTGGAAGTCAAATATGAACTTTCCTAATTTCATTAGCCATACATACCACAAAGTTTATTAAAAGACGTCGCTGTATCATTACATTGATATTCAAAGTAAAGATATTTTGTCAATCCAGGACATAGATCACCAGAGAACAAGGTTTCATTCACAGTTATTTTACACTCATGTTGACCATCACATTGTTTCTTAACAAGACATGTTACATCAACTTCACAACTATAATTATCACTCAAACCACATGTCTTTGTGTCAGACAATCCACGGTACGATGCAGTCTTGACCACCATGTACTGATCTTTAGGACAGTTGGCATGCTTTGTCATATTTCCATGACACGTCACTGAACCTAAAACAGAAAAAGAAATTAGAAATGACGAGCGCTAAATGACAATATCAAGTAGTAGGACAAGAGATTTTGTTGAACGGCATAGCAATGTATACAAATTGCAAAACACCATTGCTGCACGGGCATGATATTCGTATGCAGAAATTCAGCATTATATGAAATATTTGGAACAACTATAGAGTCTGGCATGTAGTAAAACACTGACTACCGGAACACCGGAACACCACCGGAACACCGAAACACCACCATTTTGTTTGGGGTTAGGGTTTGGGGTTAGGGTTAGGATTGGGGGTTAGGGTTGGGGTTAGGGTTAGGATTGGGGGTTAGGGTTGGGGTTAGGGTTAGGTGGTGTTCCGGTGGTGTTCCGGCGGTGTTCCGGCGGTGTTCCGGCGGTGTTCCGGCGGTGTTCCGGTGTTCCGGTAGTCAGTGTTTTACTACATGCCATAGAGTCTTGCTCGTGATTTAATTATATGTGGAGTTCAACAAGTCTCTGTCTTATATAACACCAACACACACAAAAAATGTCATATCTTAGAATACATTGATATCGAAGGAACTAGACTCAGTTCCGAAATATCACCAACTTGAACCGACTTTACCTCGTGCTCAGTTGGTAGAGCATTGGACTAATATATCCAAAAGGTCGCGGGTTCGATTCCCACCGTGGTCAGGCAAACTTCTAACTTTTCAGCTTGCCCGGTGTGGAGGCACACTCAGAGTAACATCACAAACATCATATTCCTATTCAGCATTATATGAAATATATAAAATTCAGGGCATTATATGAAATATTTGGAACAACCGGAAAATCTAATTATATGTGGAGTTCAACAAGGCCTCTGTCTTCGTACTGCTGCGTTTCATTTTCTTCATCGATGACATAAAATATGTACTATTTAATAAACGAGCAGGAGTGTTCTATTAGGTTAAACAAAAGAGAAACCTAATAAATTACGACCTGCGAATTTATTAAACGGCTTCAAACACAGCTACAAATTCAATAGATATACAGGCAATGATGGGTGAGAAATTTAATAAGTAAATATGAAATGCAAACTGCAAAACCACAAATAAGAAGTTTTTATGTAGACTTTATGTGCAAAGACATCAAACAAATTAACTGCATACAAATAAAAACAACTTACCAAAATTAAAACGTTTATTCTCTGCGTCGCTACAATCTCTCGTCAATTCGATGTAGGAATCTATTCCTTGATTTGTAGCAATTCTATCATCATTACCAAGGACTGCACACCGCGTCTTTTTATCAGGTAAATAATATACAGATAAACCTCCCCAAGAGGTCTGGATTATAGCATTGTCTCGATCACGACAATTCTCTGAAGGATTTCTAGCAAGGAGAAAATACAACATAGGAAGATTATAACCAGTACCAGCCCTACGTGTTGCCTCGAAACATCCCTTTCTTTTCAAATTGAACATAGCACTATTATCAAAAAAACGGAACTGAGCAGCTGGATCCAGACAGTTGTTGGAAAGTTCCACGAAAGATAAGGTTCCCCAAAACTCGTCCGACTGTAGTATTCCTGTGACACTAATACACATCCCTGTCTGCACATGTTTCACAAAGAAACCAGCAGCGCCTGAAATAAAACACAAAAATAAAAATAAATAATAAAGTAAATAATGGACTCCTGTTGCGTGTCTGTGTGCTTGCGTTTATATGAAGTACCATGTAAATAGATGGTTGTTGATGGCACAGCGTCTTTCACAGCTGATTTATATGACTTATATGATAGATATAGGAGATCTAGATTGCTAACGTATACCTAGCGCAGGCGGGGCCTACATGATAAATCCAAGATGGTGGTACAACAGGGCAAAAAGACTATAGATTCTATTACGAATTAAAAGCAGGATTTTTGCATTTTTGTCGTCGCATTGTTTCGAAACTTATTCGGTCAAATTTTATGGTAAGGAGAAACTTACCGCAAAGATTTTGAGCATATATACGATTGAATTGGATGAAAAATCGCAAAATTATCCAGCGATAAAAGTTCGTGTGAAATGGTCAGTTGGAGCGTTTTATTGCCAGAAATACTGTGCTATATGTTAACATCTAGCCTTGTGAATGGTGTTTTATACTTGCATCTCTCATCATCATCTGCTCTGTCCTCATAATTATGAAAAATGAACTGTTATGTACCCCCCCCCCCCTTCCTTGTTAGAGAAGTAAACTGATGAGAGCACTGGATGAGGGTCTATCATCTATGGTCTGTAATAATTTGCTTTTTATGCAAATAGTGAGCAAAAATTAAAGCAAAACTGCACAAGTTACATATATAGTACTATATCAGTACTAGGCACGAACTTTTATGGATGGATAATTTTGCGAGTTTTCATCCAATTCAATCATATATATGCTCAAAATCTTCGCGGTAAGTTTCTCTTTACCATAAAACTTGACCGAATAAGTTTCGAAACAATGCGACGACAAAAACTGCAAAAATCCTGATTTTCGTAATAGAATCTATAGTCTTTTTGCCCTGTTGTACCGCCATCTTGGATTTATCATGTAGGCCCCGCCTGCGCTAGGTATGAGTTAGCAATCCAGCCTCGTACCCAGGCGCTAAAAATGGGCACACTACAGTGTTTTTATATAGATCAGTGGCTCGAGCGCGCGGGGGTGCTTGGGGAGGTTGCAGGAAACGAAGCGCCTGGCAGAATTTGTAACAAACATGGCGGACATGAGGATGCAAATAAGGAAATTGCTGTACTATACTCAATGAAATTGAAAGGCCTGCCCATCGAGCGTGACATTTGGGAAAGATTTTATGTCCAAATGATCACTGGGTTGATAATAATTATTTTTCCTCGAGAACGGTATTATATATTTATCATTTTAGCTGGTGAGTTTCCTCAGTACCTCTCGAAATTTAATAGAAAGTCTCCTGGTCATGATTTATTTCAAATGGTTGAAAACATATGTCTGGTATTGGATGCACATCATGAAATGTACTGCCTTTTTGCAGTTTGAAAGAAAAGTATTCTGACAACAAAGCCAAAGATAAAGAAACAGGCCAAGTTTATAACTTTATATTCTTGATATTTTAATAATACATTGAATTTTATAAATACAGTATGGAATGTTGAAACTACTACTTATTTGTACTGATGATACATTTTACCTCAGAGGAGAAAATTAACTGGAAAATACCTAATGATTGTAGGTTTCTAAAATTTTGCCAATAGAAGGAATATAAATTAACATGCATGAGTACTTTTTAGTATGCAAAATATGGTGAAGATAAAAACATAAATTTTAGAGCTCTATTGTTGTAATTGGCTGACAATAATTATATAAAACACGAACCAAACCAAACTAATCTCATCTCATGCATGGTTCACCTGTTGATGCTTGTGATTCACCTTACTTTTGAGCTTTGAACTATGAAGGCTATTGCCCTTGATTGCCAAAATCTACTATGTTTACACTAAGGAATGGAGTATACTCTGGATTTACCTCTGGCTGCATACAATGCATTTGATACCAGTTACAGACATAGTCTAACAAATTGGACAATTTAAAGGCATGGTTGCACATTGCAATTTGTTGGGCTAATTACAGTACAGATGGTATTGATATTTAAAAATTAATGACATTTGAAAAATATGTGGCAAACATCATTTGATGGTCTCACTGAAAATATTTGTCAACAGTTAGCAAAATCTAAAATCATCCCGGCAAAGTATGGTGTATAAACACACACAAATACATACACCCATACATGTACCATACATATACACACATGATTTACCAATTGCCATGGAAATTGGTCTTGGGATTAAACAATCCAAACATGTTTATACACACAAATGCTTTACCTGAAATCATTCTCAGGTCACTCAAGGTAAGTCCCAGTAAACAGCTTGGACAGGTGTAGGTTTGTTGTGTAAACCCAAGACCTATCCCAGTTGTCTCTGTGCTTGCTTCTAAATCCTCATGAATGTTTTACACAACTTGACTAAATGAGATATACCTCGATCATCAACATACTATGCAAACAACCCCTGGAACATTTAACCTAAAATGTTGAGAATTTTATTTATTTTGCTCATAATATAAACTACTAGTATTTACATTCAAAAAGATCTAGAGCTATGGCTGTATGGCAATATTTATGCAATTTAATGCTCTTGTGGGCCTTTATTTATACACTCATCCACATCTTAACGTCTAAACAAGCTAGGCACATTAAACTTTGCAAATTAACAACTTTGCCCATTAAGTTTCACTTCCCCCTACTAGGGCTATGGTGGTGTGCTGATTGCACCACCGAGTTTTGTGGTGCAATTGTCAGTTCAAGACCACTTGATAAACTGCTAGATTTTTCAATCTCGCCATAGTTTTCCATCTCATAATCTGCTTCAGTGGCAATGGGGACATCACTATCTAACAACATAATAAATTAACAACATTTCTATTACTCATTAATTCATAAATTTACTATATTATAATGCTTCAGATCAGCAAAAATGTGATGCATGATGCATTTAAATGTATGCTGACTTAGGAACTTAAACTACATAAGTAGACAATACCTTCTTCAAAATCAAGTTGGGAAAAGGATGCATTAAATATATCATCAGAACTTACTGATGCTATCAAAAGAAGATTTAATAGGTGTTTTAAAATCGCACACAGGTGATACAGCAAATATTTTGTTGTGGCCATTTGCTGCTATTGCAATTTATATAAAATTAGCTTTGACATTGTTGTTATATTTGCATGAACCAAAGTCCAAAGAGACAAATATAACAGCATTCAACATTAAACAGATTTATATAACAATATATATCGCTATTTTACATCATATAAAATAATGTAAATAATATTTAGCTAAAATCCTTCCGTTTTTAATATCTGCAATTCTATTATAACACAGCTATATCATATTAAAAATGACTCATATTATTAAAGTTATTACTTAGTCAGTATATTAATTCAAATAAAGGTTAAAAAGCGCCTATTAAGTATGTTTAAAGAAAAAGATTACCTTCATGTGGCTGTCTTTACTCCGTCTGGTCCATATTGTCACGAAAATTGGGCACAAAATGCACAAAAACGCTTAAAAACTACATTTCTAAAGTAAATTTCAGAAATCGACAATTTGTTGTCACTTATCGAACAAATTCTGCCAGGCGCCTCTCGTTCCGGTGGCGGCCTCCCCAAGCACCCCCGCGCGCTCGCTCATCTTAGCCACTGATCTATATAAAAGTACTGTAGTGTGCCTATTTTTAGTTAATTGCGCCTGGGTACGAGGCTGTTAGCAATCTATATCTCTTATATCTATGACTTATATCACCTAAGTATATTTCATTTGTCTGAACATGCATCAAGCTAATGCAAGCTAATTAGCTAAACTGATCGGCTGTTCAGTCGCTGCTGTACATTGTTTATTGCTGGCAGGTATTCGGATCCATTCCTCAAAAATTGAACTCCACAGTTGGATCAAATAATGGCAATGAAGTTTAATGCAATCTTTTATTTTCAGTCTGCAGTGTAGTTTGGGTAGACTGCGACTATAGGTTTCGGCACGGCTTTTTTTGTAGATGTCAGATGTCGGATAGCCGCATCGTCGTCGATAGCGAAACAAATAGAATATTAATGAGCAAGATGGCCGCCGTTTAAGGAGTGATCTGAGTGGTCGCCGGGCGATTTTTATTGCAAACTATTTCGTTATGTTTATGCAATTTTAAAGGGGGTTTTATGCCAAAGACGCGTAAGAAAATCACAGTCAGGCTCAATTTATTAATTATTATAGATATTATTCTTACAGACGCATTGGGTGCAGTTTTAATTTGGCAAACTACATGCTTTGATACACGACCGAAATGTTTCGTTATCTTTGTGGTATATTTATTGTTTGCGTGATATATTGAACTTAGACACAGTTCATTAGCTAGGTCACATTTAACTTGCTGATTTAACTCCGTAGACATTTAACTCGCTGATTTAACTCCGTAGTTCGTCATTGCTAGTGTTTCAGTTAAATTTACTATTACTGGTTTTAGCATCATTGTGTAGTCGTGTAGAGGATGCCAAACGGTTTATTTTGCCCCGAAACCGTGCGAAACACTATCTTTCTCCTCGAAAAACTCTATTTCTCTTACAGTCGCACACAGTGGCAGAAATTCACTTTTTCCGGGGGTGGGGGGGGGGGGGTTGCAAAGCCTCTTAAATTTCCGACAAAACTTTCAAATTTGCACTCGTTTTTAGCCCTCTTTTAGGTCAAAATTTACGAAAATTCGCCAATTTTCCGTGAAGGTGGGGGGAGGGGGGATCGCCCACCACCCCCGCCCCACCAAGATTTCCGGCACTGGTCGCACTGACCTCAGTTTGAATTAGTTGACGAACTGTCCTGATACATCACCGAAATGTTTCGTTTTCTACATATTAATCTCTGAGTAGTAATACCCGCCACTCTGGAGTACAAAGGGATGCCGCCAATGACGTTACATTGCTCCGAAAGTAATTAGTATGCAAAATATGTGACGTAACTTTGCTGCCCCTAACCCTAACCCTTGGCCATGTAGCGCGACCAATTAACGCGGGAAGGCCTGGGCCAACTGTGACAGGTAGCGCGACCAATTAACGCGGGCAGGCCTGGGCCAAATGTGGCAGGCGATCAATTAGCATCACAACTAGTTTCTGACAAATTTGTAATAAAACGACAAGAGGTTTCTCATAGTTTGCATGTATAAAAGTATGAAATAGAAGTTAGTTTTTAAAACCCACCGTTAGCTCAGTTGGTGGAGCAAAGGATTGTAGTTATTACCAAATCAGTATTCCTTAGGTCACCGGTTCGAACCCGGTACGCTAGAAAGTTTTTTGCCTTAAAACCATGTAGCAACGTTGTGAGTCCCTCTCTTATTTTCAACACGCAATTGAAATTCGTTTTAATTTTGATGGCTCGTTTTGAGTAATAAGTTTCCAAACAGAAATAAAAAATATCGCAACAGAAATAAGCAGTTGCTAATCCCGGGTTGTCAAAGCCGTTGTTATGATCGCTATTTGCATGTTGTAAACCCGCATACATATATACGGTCAAGATGACCGAGTCAGATAGAATACTTGAAGGAAATAACCTGTAGAACAATTTAGCAGTCTTAGTTGTAATATTTTTTGTCTATTATTTGTATTAAGAAACATTTTAAACTTTGCTGCGTTGTTATGCGTTGCTAAGTGATTAGGTGGCGTGTAGGTAATTAAGGGATTAGGCGAACAAAAAATTTGCATAACTAAATGTATCCCAATGGATAGATTGGGATTATATCCTAAGATATTGATATCCTAAGAAAAATGATATCCTAAGATACTGATATCCTAAGATATTGATATCCTAAGATATTGATATCTTAAGAAAAATGATATCCTAAGATATTGATATCCTAAGATATTGATATCCTAAGATA